TCCATTTTTAGAAGAAAACAAGCAACATTAAATGTATATTACATGTATCCCCCTGTTGTGTATTATATATATATATATATATATATAGTGTATTCTCTGATGTGTGTATTTGTTTTACATGTATATATATGTAATCTGTGAGTGTGATGTGTATCACAGATTTCAGAAGGAGTACATGATGTGCTGATATACAGAAACAACTACACTGGATTTTATCAACTAATATATATATATTGAAATTATTTAACAGATGTATATCTACTAAAAATTATGATTACATATTTGAAGTAACTACCAAAAGCGTTTTGCACACTCTGATCACCAGTTTGAAGAATGCAACATACTTGTAAAAGAAGACTTTCGAAACTAAAACAGTGTAGTAGATGATAGTGGAACCTCAGTTTCTATTGGTTGGCAAATAAGTGTGGTGAAAGTGAGAGAAGGTAGTATCATTTATAAAAATGTGCCCAAATAACACCTTCATATACTCATGCTGCAAAATTCCACACACACATCAAATGTGTGACCATAGTACTGAAACACCTGCTATGTAATTTGATAAGCCCGGCTCAGAACCTACAATGTTTATTGTATCAGCCCAACTCTGAACCATATAATAAATGTTTTTACACATTCTAATTGCTGTTTTATTACCCTGGGAAATTCCTGTTGATAATGTTGTAGGAACTTCTCGTAGCAAGGGGAATGTCACCTCACTGAATACGAGTGCATTTTTGCACTCGAGAGTTTCGAATTACGGTTGTACATAAACAGTCTTATAACACGGATGGTGAATTATTGCTTTTTGTCAGCAGGTTTGTAATTTGTCGGTGACAGTAAAATAAACATAGAAAATATATGGGATATGTTTTGCAGTTCAAACTGTCAGGGGAAGAACTTTGAAACTTCATGATCAATAATGAAGAAAAAGGAAACAGCTGCTCATTAGATTTCTGACTTTACTATTTTTCTTTTCATTCTACTTCAGGCTGAAGAATCAAATAGTAAATGTAATAACAGGTAAAATATAACATTTTATTGAAGAAAAAGTATATATGTATTTAGGAGATTTCAGAGGTTGTGCAAATGAAATTTGAGATTTTTGAAACAAAGAAAAGTATTTTAAATCTTAAAATGAAAATCACTTTGCATTCAGACTAGATAAAAAAATAATTGATACTTTCACGGACAAATATTAGTAAAAATACTTCATTAAAAAATCTGATTTTTTGTGTGCAAAAGGCTTCTAGTGTTTACTATAAGTCTACAAAATTTTGTAAAGATACACTTAAAATATTAAAAGTTATAGCATGAAAACTATAATAAGCACAAAATGGTTATGAGGTTGGTCCCAGGGACCGAGCCTGTGTTGAAAGAGTTAAAGTAGATAATACCTTGAGAAAAAAATCATTTTTCAGTTAACTATTATATAAGTGAGTGTTGAGCCGTATAGCTAATTTGCATCCCTGAAACTCAGCAATAAGAATTGATAAAATTTGAACCCATTATTTGATTTGTCCTATCTAAAATGTTGGATCAGTGTGTTTTGAGTTGCTTCTTGAAGTTCATCACTGTTTCATTTATTTCATTTTTATGATGTTCTGATTTCTCTTTACATATAGGTTATGTCATGGATTCTACTAGTAGGTATATTTTCATACACCAAGGTTAGTATTGCAAACTTAATGCGTGAAGTAGGACATAGAGCTTTGTTCTGGTGTGGTGCTGTAACCCAGGCTGGATCAGCTGTTGGTGCATTGGTGATGTTTTTATTTGTTAATGTGGGAAATTATTTCCACAGCTTTGATGCCTGTGGTCAATAATAATACTGATCAGTTAGGCTTACGATTGATTTAGTAAATAAAAAAAAAAAATACCATTAACAACTTCTATTAAGGATTACTTATAGAATATATACAACTTGCAGTATTGTATATTTGTCACACCATTACACTGGGAAGAATTTTATTATTAAAAGAATTGAGTACCACTTTCATAAAATTTTCAATTTTGGTTTCTAGTTATGGAAAACTTATTCTATTGTTAAATAGAATCATTGTTTTCATGTTTGGGCCATTGGTATTTATTTATGGAATAGTTTAGTGCATTGCAGTAAATTAATTGATTCTTTAATGACTAGAGTTTTTATATTCTATTAAAGTTATATTCTTGTAAATTGTGGTGCACGTTCTCTTTACACAAAAATGTCAGTATTTAATAACCAATTACATATTTTAAAATGTCACACCATCAGGTCATTTAGGAATGCATTTTTCACGAAAGCTAAAGAAAGATACTGTGAATTCGTTCTTAGAAGTTCAGTAAGATTGAAGTAGAAAATGTGTCCAATAGGAAACTTTCAGGATCATGCCATGTTTTTCATATCACTCAGTTTTAAACGTTCTTGAGCTCTCTAGCTCTTTGGTACTCCACTATAAAATTACTGTATGAAATGTCTTCAAAAGACTGTCAAGTCACACACAATCCACTTCAAATCATTTCTGAAGAGCTGTCTACAGACCAGTGGTACAGGTGTAACCTGTGAATTTGTCATCATAATTTAGTAGTTTGAATGTGGTAATACATTTGTAGCAGATTAATAAAAGATCAATATAATATGACTAGGACTACCATACTTAGATGTAAGGAAGCTCATGACCTTATATTTATAAAAAAAACTAAGTAAAATGAATCTGAAATGATAATTTTAAATAAAATGAAATCTAAAGCTTTTATTAATTTGTTCTATTATTTCTTTTGTTTAAGTGTCCTTTAAATGTCTTTTATTCTTGTGTGTGTGTGTATATATATATTGTAACAGGCAGCACCCTTGTGGGCTAATTGTTGGAGTTTCAATTATACTGCCAGTCACACCAAATTTATTTAGTGGAGGATTTGCAGTGGTGAGTGGAGCTCACAAGTTACTAACTCAACGTAATTTATGGTTAGAATAAAGAATCAGAGTCCCAGACCAGCATTGAACAGATTATAATAACATTTATTAAATCCTTCCATGTAACATCCAATATAAATCATAAGTTTGTTAATCGTTATACACTTTTCAATTACCGTTAATCAGTACTATCCACTAATACATATAAAGTACACTTCTCTTAGTTTAACATAAATCTCCTTTTATCATTACTTATGTTAATTGATCAAGAGAAATCATGAATCTATACTTACAACAGAGCTGGACTGGTAAACTTTCGGAGCTTTGAGACTTTCATAGTCATAAACTAGAGAGTTTGAGTACTTGATAACAATCGAGAATTTGGAGGAGAACTTGAATTCTCGAAGGAGATTGACTATTTGGTTTCAGACAGGGTTTTTTTAAACCATATTTTCTTGGTATTCTCTCGACCTTCCAAATAGTATCCAGAACTACCCGCAAGTAGTTCTACCACTTTATTGGTCAATCTGTGCAAATTCCCAGTTAGTCCAAAACTCTCAAGTGATTGTTTACTGTTATGGTGAGTTAGCCGATTGCTTTTCCACTTGTACTAATACACTAGCATCTTGTAAGGAATATGGCATCAAAGTACTGCTTTTTGCTTGTTAACATCGACTTTTTCGTAGCTTCCACTTTCCTTTCCACTTGTACTAATACACTAGCATCTTGTAAGGAATATGGCATCAAAGTACTGCTTTTTGCTTGTTAACATCGACTTTTTCATAGCTTCCACTTTCCTTTCCACTTGTACTAATACACTAGCATCTTGTAAGGAATATGGCATCAAAGTACTGCTTTTGCTTGTTGACATTGACTTTTTCATGGCTTCCACAGTGCTAAAGAGTTAGCGTCAGTAATCCATCACAACCTGTCAGGGTGCTCGTGCACTTATTTCGTTGATAGGCAATATCCCTATGTGCTTTTCAATGCCACTGACCCAGCTAGCTGTATTCTCTAGCTCTCAGCCTTATTTCGTAATACAGACGTCCTTACTTACGCCATTTCTCCATGTATTTGTTCACTCAAAATCTCAGAAAATTGTTACAACATTGTTTTTAAATTCTTTTCAACTAATAAATATACTGAAGCAATTGCAAAATTCCCTCAACAATATTCAAATGCTT